AGACCTCCATCTTGATGGGCGGGGACACCGGCTCCGTCTTGGGCTGCAGGGTGCTGCCCGTGGGGGTCCCCGTCGATGCCGTGGCTGGCGGGGAGAGGGGAGGGGAGGTTATAGGGGTGTATAAATCCGCTGCCGCGCGCCGGTTTGTGGGAACATTAAGGAGCTATTGGGTGGAGAGGGTGTGACCGCTCGGCCGGCCGGACGGAGCAGGGGTCACCCTCCGCAGGGGTGCGTGTGTGCGCGCGCGCAATGTCGATCCAAATGCAAAATTGAAACACTTTTTTATAGAGGCAATTTTTATATAAAGTAGAAATCGCTCAACTGTGTTGCGTTGCGGCGGGCTAACTTTTGCGTGGTGTAGTAATTGCATTTCCCACGGTGACTTTTCGGCGCGGTCACATTTTTATTTCAAGTCGTCGTCAAGAAAAACATCATCGCTGATGGTCAACTATTCTCGCCGTCCCACTGCCAATCCTACGAGATAAAGTAACCTGGGAATAAAGTTATTAACTGACTTTTGTTTGTGTTAGATTATGGTAGTGTTTTGACTGACAATTGATTATGGAGACAGTTTTTCCCATCCCGCGCCAGAGTGAGCGGCGAGGGGTCGCCGCGACCGGGCGCGCGCGTTTGTTCTATGTTTATCCGAGGCGCGTGGCTCCCGGGGGAAAAAAGAGAAGGGGGGGGGGGTAAGTCACCCATTAATTCTCACTCACACCAGCCAATGAATGCTAATGCTCTGCAACACACACACGCGACGAAGAAGAGCTCTCCGGCGATTGTATCTTCTTTCCCTCCACCCTTTTTTCTTGTTTTGAGATATTCCTCTTCTATTTTCTTTGATATCGTTTTTGAATGAATTACAATCCCATAATATATACTGCTGAGTGGGTGCCATCGGGTGCCATGCCTTCAAAAGGCGGCGCCACGTATGCCGCCGTCGTCGTGTGGAAGTGCTCATGGATCACCGCTTCATCCCTCGACCTTCGACGGCGCGCTCCCCTTCCTCCTCCTCCCCTATCTGTCCGCCCATCTATTTTCCTATCATCCTCGTTGGCGGATGAGCGGATTGAGGACGACTCCTGCGCGCTGTCACCGGCCGCGTGCCGGGAGTTAGCCTCGCGCCGGGCGGGCGGGCGCCGCGCGCCGCGGGGGAGCGGCGTGAGACTTCCCCACCTCATTAGCCAGATTACTTATTAATCGGCACATCCCGGTCGCCACTCGCGTGAGAACCACTCATATATGGCGCCACGGCGCAAGTGGTACACTCTTATCCTGATTTAACCCCAATCTTTCGCCTCGTCAGCAAAATTGTCCAGTTTAAAAAAAATTGCAAATTTGAAAATATAATTTACCGTGTTTCTACATTTTATTAGTTTTAGTGTAAAACTTGACGTAAACACTGGAGCAGTATTCGGTATTCATAATATTTAAGATCGTGAATATATGTATATTTTTCTAAAGGAACGAAATCTAACAAAAGTTACCATATTATTTGGAAATGTTATGCTCGAGCATGGAAAGTGTTCTATTGATTTTGTAAAGACGATCTCTCTGTCATAAAAAAATAGTATTATACTTTGAAGGGTTTGTGAGGTATGACAATGTTTTCCTTGCTGTTCACCAAATGGCTTTACCACAAATACCCTCGCCTTGTTCTTTTGAAAAAGAAACTCCAACCTGAACAAGTTAAGCAAATATAAGCATAGCAGGACGAGACAGCTGGCATTCCTTTCTTTTCATTTGTTTCCGCTACTTCTGGCTGCTCGGTCCTTATCGCCTCGGGGGGCTTTGTGACGTGAGGCGACAGACGGACGGCGATAGAGGCAACACGCCCCGATAGGAAAAGTTCTGAGGAAAAGATCTCGGCAGGACTACGACTGGAAAGACATCGGCTCTTGTTTCACTTGCTTTACCGGCTCAGTAACCCTCACTGCCACGGCCGACCCCCTCTCCATCTCCTCCGCCTCCCCTTCAACTTTTCAACCTCCTTCTCCTCCTTCTCCTCCTCCTTCTCCTCCTCCTCCGACTCCCTTGACCACGCCCACGGCGGAAGGGTGCAAGGAGGCAATGAGTCGCCGGTCGCCGGACGGATGCACACGCCTGTCACTGAAGATCAAAACTGTAGAAGGGTTACTTTCGACGTCGAGAAGCTTTCGGGCCGGCGATGTTGTAAAAAAAAAAAATACTTACAGGGAAATGAAAAGAAGTTATTTGGATTTGTCTAGTGACACAAATTCATTTTATTACTCAGAAACGCGAACTACTGTAACCTAATCATGCCTCGCACCATATATTTTTACAAATGTACCAGGTGGCTGATTCACGCCGCGCACTTCTGTAGTTATGCTGTACCGCATGCACAAGTGCGGGCGGGTTGCCTACTCGCTCGGCTCGTAAGGCGCCGTGGACAGGGGCGATAGGCAAGCCCGCCCGCACTCGTGCATGCGGTACAGTATACCTACAGAAGTGCGCGGCGTGAATCAGCCACCTGGCATACTTAATATCAATAATCAGGAAAGCACCACTGTTCTGTCAAATGTTGGGACGGTATGAACCATATTTCAGAACACAAAGTTTACCAACGCGATTAAGTCTATTTAGGAACTTCAGTCGTTGTTATTTAAAATCGGATGATCCTTTTCTTGGGCGATCCTGTCGCCCTCCCCGCCGCCGGCCTCCCGGTGCCGTTGACAGCGAACAGGGGTCCGCTCCCCAAGCAGGCCCTGCGGCCCCTGCCGAAGGAGGAGTTGGCGCCGCCGCCGTTGGCGTCGACCTGGCCCTGCAGGTGTGGTGGCGGCAGCCCACCAAGCAGCAGGGGTGGCGCCGTCGTGGCCTCTTGCTCCTCGGAGACCTCCATCTTGATGGGCGGGGACACCGGCTCCGTCTTGGGCTGCAGGGTGCTGCCCGTGGGGGTCCCCGTCGATGCCGTGGCTGGCGGGGAGCTGCTGCAATCAACGGAGGCCGCGTGAGTGAGTGAGAACGCCTCGCGCTCGCGAGCTGGCCGCGCTCCCGCCAGCACCCCAAGCTCGTGTAAGTACCAACCCTCATACCAACCTGGATTGAAGAGGTAGGCCCCGCGCCGTCGCGCATGGCCGGGCCAGGTAGGCGCTGAGCAGCGCACCCCCAGCCGCGCCGCCCGGATTCCGCGACCTGGGCGACGACTGCGTCCGGGACGGACACGTGGACAGCGACGTGGTTACTGTGGTGGTCGACGTGGCCCCGCCGCCCACCCGGCAGGACGTCGCTGATAGCACGGGCAGCTTCTAGAAAGCAGGACATGTATGGTTAAAACAAAACAACAGGATACTCCAACGAGTGCTCCTCTCGCGTGTACACTAGTTGCAAAGCGGCGTACCGTGATGGCAAGAGCCCTGGTCGGGCATGTGGAGGTCGCGGGGCTGGCGGTCCAGCTGGGGGGCTCCACCTTGACAGACACCGCCGTCAGGTGGTTGTTGTTGTTGCACACCATGGCGTCGTTGTTGTTGGTGAGCGCCTCCTGCTTCTGCCACTCGAGGACGGAGGTGAGCAGTTTGATGTACCTAGCACAAGAACAGCGTTTAGTTGGCGGGAAGCTCGGTGACGCGGAGCGACGAACTCGGCAGTACATATCGCTCCACTCCACCATACTCACTTGATGGCGCTGCGGAGGATCTCGTTCTTGGAGAGCTTCTTGTCCGGCGGGTGCCGGGGTACCAGCTTGCGCAGGTCGTCGAACGCGCCCGTCACGTTCTGCTGGCGGTGGCGCTCCCTCGAGTTGGTGAAGCCCTTGCGGCCGGGGCCAAGCCCGGAGCCGGGGCTGAGCGAGGCGCCGGCCGGGGACGGCGTGACGCCCAGTGGCGACCCGCGGGACAGACCCTGAGAGCGAGAAAATATGGAACAGGACATTAGCATTTGTGGCATGTGGCGTATCTATTTGTATGTACATTACTTTAGGCAGCCGCACAGACTGGCTTTTGGGTTTGTAGCCACTGGTAGCCAGTCAACTGGTCAATGTCTAGCGAGCCAGTTAGTTTTATACAGCATACAGTTTGAATTTTCATTTCTATAAGAAGAGAAAATGAGTCTGCTGGTTAATTCTGTACCGGATGCACCCTTGTGGGAGTGCTTGCCTATCGTTGCTCGCCGAGGCGCGTTACGGCCCTCCTCTGTGCGAGTATGCAACCAGTCCGCACGCCTGCATCCGGTACAGTAGAATCAGAAAACAGAACGCGGCCGATGGGCCACCCTATGTTAAGTTTAGAGAACGTTTTGCGACCACACTATTTGCCCCGACGCGGCTGGCTGAACAACTTGTGTGTTTTTCAGTAACTCGATTTTGTTGACCGACTAAAAACAACGATCTTCTAGCCGAGAAATACTTACACTTTGCGACGTTCTGGGCCGGGTAGTGGAGCTGATGGACTCGTCGTCCGACTCAGCGCACAGCGAGAAACCGTCCGACGTGGAGGCCAAGTCGTCTGCGTCGCCGTCAGGGTCGCCGTCGGGCTCCCAGTCCTCATCGTCCGACAGGGAGCCGTGCGGAGAGTCCCTCGGGGAGCCTCGCGGGGAGGCGGGCGCCCTGCCGGAGCCCGGGGAGGCGGGCCCCAGGCCGGGCCGCACCGCGCGGGGCGCCACCATGCCGTTAGAGGGGCGCGACGACGGCGCCGTGGCCGTGGTCGCGGACGAGGCCGCCGACGTGGTCCTCGAGGGGGAGTCTGTGCCGCCGCTCTTGTCGGAGACGCCCGGGGACAGGTCCGAGTCGGTGGGCTGCAGGGAAAGGGGCGCACAGGCCGGCTGCGCAAGAGAAGAACCACAAATTTTTCACAGGTCGTGCGCTGCACCACGTCGATCGGATCCAGGAGCAGGAGCGGGGCGGGCGTCCCCGAGCAGAGGCGTGGCGCACGCCGATCGTACCATGGTCTGGAGTCGTCCTCAGGGGCGGATGGCCGCTGTCGCACGCTCAGGACGTCGCGGAGGGCAGCGCGCAGGACTCCTCGGCGACAGCGCCCGGGTGCGGCGCGGGGGCTGAGGACGGGACGACGACTGGCATTTCACGGTCGTTTGGTATGCAAGTGGCGTCGGGGCCGGGCCTCCAATGCACTGCACTGCGCCAGCGGCCCGGCGCGGGGCGCGGCCGACGGGGGACGTATGGGCCTCCACGACGCACTTGACCACCGGGATGGCGGGCCACTTCCACCACCACCACGTCGATGAGCACACTGAACCTGCGGGTCCAGGGGATGCACTACTACTTGACCAGTCCAAAATGGCGGCCGCTCGCACTGGCTGCCGACACACGGGCCCGCGGTCCCGCGGCTGTGCTGCGCGCACTGTGAAGCTGCCCCGCGCGCGCCCGCTGTCGCACTGGTGTGGCCCGCCGCGGCCGCGGCCCGGGAGGAGCCCGCTGGACCGGGGAGGCTGCGGTGGCGGCCAATGGCGGGCCGCGCGCCGCCCAGGCCCCGCCCCCTCGGCGCGCAGGACCCGCAGGGGTGGCGACGCCCGCCCCCCGGGAGGGGGGAGGAGGGGCGGCAGGGAGCACGGCACGGCGCAAGTGTCGCGCTCCTCGCCTCGTTGTTCGGGAAGTCGGTTTAAGCCCCGGAAACAATCATCCCCAGTCTGCGGGAGGATGGGGTGGGCCAGACACGCTCGTCGGGGGACGCGAAGGGAGGGGAATAACTTCTCGACGTCCGACTTTTATCCTTTATGCCGTTCGTCATTCGTCGTCAGAAAATTTTCGTATTTTTCCCCGACGGTTGGTGGAGTCGCGAGAGAGAGAGAGAGGTGTGCAGCGGCGGAGCGGGGGATGGAAGCGGGTCAGTGTGAATAGTGGATGCGCTGCGCGGTGCGTCGCCCTTAGGCCCCGCGGAGGGACGCCGGCCACCGCGACGCGTAGGAATCTACGGCCCTGCCTGCTAGACGCGCCGCCCTGCGCCAAGCTCTTTCTCTGTAAAAAATAAATAAATCCGGCGCAGCTTTGTGTCACATTTTTTACCAGAGTGCATCTCAGTGGCAACAGCATGTATGGGATCAATACGCGAGGCCCTCCCTCTGTTGTATTGCTCAATTTTTTTCAAATTGACGTTCCGTTGGCTCAATGTATGAGCCCTTAATATTGAAATGATAGCTCAGGCGACGAATGCAAATGCCAAGCCAGGCGAAGAGGAGGCAGGGCAGGAGGGGGGAGGGGAGGAGGGGAGAGGGAGGGAGGAGGTAGGGAAGGGGGGGGGGAGGAGGCGTCGGGCGGGCGGGCGTGCCAAGCCAAAGGGTTCGGGACTCGACGAACTCGATTTGCCGAGGCGCTGTTAGTACGCGACTCAATATCGTTCCTACCATGATGGAACATTATTCCGCAACACTCAAACTTGTTCCTGCGTATGTGGATTATAACAGCCGGTTCGGGAATATAAAGTATAGTGACGACTTTTACTAAAATTTAAAATTACATAGCATTAATTTTAGTATTTAGTTTTATTGACTAGTGGTCTATAACAAACAAATTAATTTTTGAAGAACTTTGAGTGTCGAATGATTTTTCTCAAAAGTTTTTGAATTTCTATCAGCGGATTAACAGCTGACCGTGGGTTCTGTATTGACTAGGCTAGGCAGGCCTTCCCTCACGCCCCCCCCCCCTGTCCCATCGGGGCCTGACCACCGGGTAATTGTCCAGACCGAACTAGGCGTGACCCTT